GATTTATGTCACCTATAGCTAAATCCATTTAACAAAAGAAGAAATGAAATGGCTTATCCATGAGTGCAACCCAAACCTCTCAGTAGGTACAAACATAACTCTGGCTTTCAGAATTTCAGTTTCTTGCCCATGTTCTCGTTACACCCAGCCTTTGAGTGCACATGAGAGGATGGAGCACAGTGATGAACACTGGATGTCACAGACATGCCTTCTGCAACCAGCAAGATAAACAGTATTTGTAGTGTTCTGGGTGTCAGTAACAGTGGTAGAAACACACATAGCTATCAGTAGATACTACTGATAGCCTCATGATAGCAGCAATTCACTTTCTTGCATTTTTTTTATTATTATCCCTTTCCCTCAGTTTTCTGAAGGAAAAAGTAAGCTAAATATGACCACAAAAAGATAACACCGGGGTCTGCAGCACTGCATGTCCTGCATCTTTGTGCATCCTTGCATCTACATGCAAGACACGGCATTCAGCTGCCACAAAGAGGTGAGTTTAGAAGTTCCTTTTCCAGAATTATCATGTTCCTTCTTGTCCAAAGCACCTCATCAGGCCATGAACTGAAGGATCATTGTTTCATGGGAAAGGTCACAGCTACAAACTACAGCCAGAGAGTCCGATCCTGATGAGCTCTTTTGCACATGGAGGCATCTTGCACAGCATGCGTCCCTGGACAGCTGTCAAAATGGAAGCGAGCCCTGGCGCAGCGTGGGATGAACTCGCAAGGTGAATACTCAGCTGAGGAAGGAGCATAAAGAGACGATCAGCTGCATGAGTCTCAGCTCAGCAGGACACTGCTCAGATTAGCATCTGAGATGTCTCAGAGACCCCCCTGGAAAAGCTGGCAGGGCACTCCACAGTTACTGCTGGTGCCATTAACAGAAGCAAAACCAGAGCTAAAACGATCAGGTGAAAAATTCTCAGAGAGCTACGCTTGGCTGTGTGTTTAGACATGACCTGTGTAAGGTTTCCCTGGACAAGACCCAAATATATGACAACTGTGCAAAATAATGAGGAATAATTATGATCTGGGGTGCTGAGAAACCCTAAACAAGATGAACTTGTTTGCTTACGCCATGAGCCCTAAACTGACAGGTCCAGTCACGTATTCAGCATGCTGCTACATGTACACGTGGCTTTTCTCATGTGACAGGCTATGAGGAGCCTAAGGCTGCAACGCTATTGACACTTGATAAATATATACAGATTTTTAAAGCAGGTCAAAAAAAAAGGAAACACTTTATGCATATTTACTGTACATCTGCATACTATTACTCAAGATGTCCGGATTTACTGGATATAACTTTCTTTGCTACCTTCATTTTAAATGAAATTATTGTTTTGGCATAGCTAGCAACTTTGCAGGGTTGACTGGGGGTCTTACTGATAATGTTATTAAACAATATTAATATCATACACAAAAGTATCTCTGCAATGACTCATTGCACCAATAAAAATACACAAGAAAGAAACTGAAATTGTCAGTGTCTCTTTGTTCAGCTTAGGCCAAGTTGGCAGTATTGTGTCCAAGGATGAAGTTAAGGAGTACAAATTGGCTGGAAAGCAAAGGTCAGTAAAACATGGCATTTCCCTCACCCCCAGCAGGTGAGGAGCAGATGGGTGTGGGATTCTGTGGGCAGGAAAATCTGCCCCTAGCAGGAAGGGATGCTACTGGCAACAGGAATTGCACCTGCTTATGCCAGGGCTTGGGCTTAAGAACACCAGAAAAGATGGTGGTGGGGGTGGAGGTGGGGGAGGATTGTTGTTCTTTGCGGCTTTTTGCTGTATTCTGTTGCTGCTGACTGAAAAAGTTTCAAACAGGTAACACAGAAGCTAAATGCAGCTCTTCGATTTATTCTAACTGGGTCAAACCTTCCTGCTGCGAAAAATCAGAGGAAGTTCTGCCGCTGGCAGCAGCAAGAATAGTGTCCGACTCTTTTTGGCTACCTGGATTTTGGTGAGCTTTTGTTCTGATGCAATTTGGAAATAATTCAGCTAAAGACAACGGAGTGACTCCAGCACAAGTAAATTCAGAGTCCGGCTTGCTTACTTTTGGCTCAATCTGGCTTTCTCGTAACTGCCACCAGGGAGCAAAACACAGAGCTGTGAAGCACCTCATTACACATGCATGACATCTGTGGCCAGTTGAAACACAACAGGGTCATACCCTAAGGAACATGTCCGGTAGAGGCATAACAGTACAGGGGATGGGTGACGGGAGAAGATAGAGGTAAAGATACAAAGGAGAAGAGGATCTACAGTAGGGAAAAAATTAATGAAGAATGATGTTTGATTTAGATACATAAACAATTTACAGCCAGCCAGCTCCTTTCTTAAAACTGTTTATGAAAAAGGTTTGAAATAGCATGGTCCTATCCCATATATCGCCAAGAATCTGGAAAAAATAAAAGTTCTGATGATGGTTTCTTTCAGATGCAGTATATTTTCAAAAAGTGTATAAAATACATACAGAGAAACTCACTGGAAATTTTTCAGTAAAAGATTTTTTTCCATCAGAAAATGCCAGTTTTTGTCAATCATCAAAGCAGTCTGCAAAAAAACCCCACTTGTTCTGCAAGCTAGGGTTTTTCATTATTCTGCAAACAAAAATGTTCTATTTTTAATAAAAATAAGTGCTGGTTTAAAAATATTGGCACAGAAGTGAAGTACTTCAGCTATGCATACATGAAAACTTCAACGGTCAATTTTGAAGAAGTATTTCTCTGGCTTTCGAGTTTAAAAAACAGAATCTGAGTGTTTGATTTGAGAATTTGAGAGCTCACAAGAATATGCAAGCATATAAAATCTATGCAACACCAAATCACACGTCACGGAACTCATCTCTGCTCCTACCTTGACACTTGTCTCCTCCAAACGCCCAAGAAGAAAAGGGAACAAGCAAGTTTATTATAGCCCTAAAAGCTTCCCGGCATGTGGTAATCTCTCTCCCTGCTTCCCAGCTTTGCCCACTTCGACCGTTTCAGATTGCAAAGTCCGCAAGGCACTTTTCTTATCATTGATTTGTGCAGATTTTTGCACAGCACACCATATTGTGACTGGGGCTCCACAGTTCTTCACGACACAGTGCCAATGAGCATTAACAGTGCCATCTACCCTCTTTATAGACTGTGTCCTAAGTCTCACATGCAAAGTCAGACAGGCAGAAAGGCAAGAATGGGGTCAGCAGTAAAAGAGGACTAAGTGTCCCTTGGCACAGAAAGTAGAGCAAGTCTCTGATTCAATTCTATTTTTTTCTATTTGGCAAAACAGAGCACTAACACTAGGCAACAGCATCTTGCAGGAGGGGCACTGTAACTGCCCTATCATCAGTTACATGATCCAGCTACAGGGTAGTAACCCACAAAGATGTGCATTCAGAGACTACTGGGGATACGGTTTTGGTGGCTGAGGGTCGTGTGCCGCTCAGTGTGTTTACAAGTACCAACAGGCTCTGAACGCACACTGCACCAGGGCTTCTTGCCACGTACAGTGTAAGAGTTCCTCCTTTTCCAGTTCCCCATTCCAACACATCTGCCTGTCCTTTTGCAATCTGTGCACTTACCTTCACTTAGAGAAGTAACTAGTCAGGCATACTAACAGTAATAGTTACAGTGTCAGCATAGTGAGTGTCTGCAATTATTCCAGTCACTGAGTTTAGTTCTCTACTCAGGTTTTTCAATCCTTGTGTCATAATATCAGATGTGAATAATAAATGTGAACAGGATGATGACAGACTTCTATTTTCTATTGCACTTTGAGGGTCATCAGTCATTATCACATTCTTAAAGAGGTAGCACTAACCTATGAAAAGAAGAGCCTACCTACAAGGCTGTGAGGTGGTGAGCTATCTGTCGGTATGCAATTGCTGCTGTAAATGACTCCTACTCCCCACTCTAAAATGCACAGAAAAGTCACCAGATGAGAGTTCATGCAGATTTGAAAAATAAAATACATCTGCCTTTTGAACGGCACAACCGGTTTCCAAGCAGGAACTGGAATTTAGAGGTTGCCTTGGGATTCCCAGTGTCTGAGGCCCTACTCTATTCTGAGAACGATCCTGCTAGACTTCAAAAGCAGCACACGCATTACAAGGCAATGCACCTGAAGTACCCGCTCAAAAAGGAGCACAGGCAGAGATTGAAAGGGTACATCCAGCTCTCCTGAATTCACCTTCCTAGGGAGGTTTAGATATCCTCCTTCATCTCTCTAAAGGTTAATAACTTTGTCATATGTCTGTTATAAAAGCAAACTGATGTGAGGCAATTCAAACTACAGAGTAGTGGCTGGTAGGAACAAAAGGATGAAAATTATTGCTATGCTTCTTGCTATATATTCTATATATTGCTATATTTTGCAAACATTTTCCCAATACAGCTGTTGGGGAAAAAAGCCACAGCTCCAGCTCCTTAGATACAAAAGAAGCCTTTAGTATCTTGACGTTTACTGTTATGAGCGTATTTACACTGCCCCCTACTCTTAGGACAAGCAACGCTGAGAACACTATGACAACTGATACAGCAAGCAGTGGCTGGCAACACTCTACTGGTACCCAGAGGAGTTAGGTTATCTTTAACTTGTTCACGCTGGTGGTGTGGTAACAGACACTCCTTCCTACAGCACGTATCCTATTGATCACGCAAACCAGGGAGATGAAAACAGACACGACTCTCCTTTCACTACACGCTTGTAATGTCACATGTAGTCAGTGACATTACAAAGCTTTAAGACAGCTAGCATTTTCTAAGAGAAAGAAAGAAGGCTAGTGATCTCACACTTCCATGCAATTACAATTCTTTTTTTTATCAATGAAGTCCCATAAAATCCTACTTTTGGAGCAAGACCCCTTTGTACTGTTCTTAGTGAACATAAATCAAAAAGACAGTGTCTGTCAAGTACAAAGCAAGAGACAACAGCTGGACATTGAAAAAGCTGGACAGTATAAACAAAGAAGGATGTTCAGCTGGGCATGGATTTACTGGGGAGGAGAGGGGCACGTTAGCTCTTCTCCCTCCATCAGCAGTTGGGTGGCATGAAGCAACAACCATGTGGTCATGTAGCTTCCACAACCACAGAATGTCTGGATCCAATTTCACCGGTTTAATCAGTTTAACCAGAGGTCAGGCACACTAACACATGTCCCTGAGGACTGGATTTGATTAAGCTTATTACAAGAATATGCAGTTTACCTCCTTCTCTTTGAACTATGTGGTACAGATGAACTGTATGCAAGATACACTCCAGATCCTGGTCTCGGTATCCTTTCTTATGCATGTCTTCCACCGAGTCTGGATAGATGACTTGATCACGTAGCGTTCCAATGGACATGTAGGGCCTGCGAAACAATAAGGAGAAACCAGTAATCTACCGCTGGCTCCCAGTGAGCACTTGCTGATGTTCCACGAGCAGAGTATAACACTTTCAATATTGTGTTGCTAAAACTGGATTTATCTGTGGGTACATTGTGGATGAATGGTTTTTTAAACTTGCCCAAGGGACAACGTATTGTTTACAAAAGAGCTGATTACAGCATAGCAACATGGATAGTATTAGTATGAAAATAAACTGACAGTTCAGGTAGAATAAACATCCACTTCATAGCTCATTCTGAATCCTTTTACTTTGAGTCAGGAACACTACAATGTATTCAAGGTTCTGCATGTTTTGAGATTCAGAATTTGAATTAAACAGCCACACGTCAAATACAAACTGTAACAAAAACTTAGCAGCTAAAACTGGGAGAGACCTCCATGGTGCAGTAGGACACACCCAATTCAGGCAGAATTGCATTTAAAGGACTATGAAGTCTCCTACACTGCACCGCAGAAGTGGGCCCAGGCAAAACTTAGCTAGGTCTAGAAGCCAATCTGTTTCTGGTTCACAAAAAGACATATGTTAGAGAAGCTGATCAGCTTTCCCCTCCCAGCATCAGCCTCCCTTTGCCAAAGAGAAGGCTGAGCTGTATGTTTAGCAACTTCTGAACTGCCAAGGTAATCTCCTTTGCCTTACTAAAATAAGCTGTCTCCACTCTGGAGCCAGAGCTCACAGTCACAGCCATGGCCCTGGGATGGCTACGGACTCCAGCCTACCCAACACCATGAGCTGTGCCCAGCCACCAGCACAGCCCAGGCCCTATGAATTCTCCCAGTCTCTAAACAAAGTCATCTCAAAAAACTGCTTTACAGCTGTGTAAGTGATACCAGGCCTTTTGGGCTAGGATAGCAAAGGCAATCTAAGACAACATTAGCTGCCTCCCACTCATGCACACCACAGCTCAGTGAATCTCATTCATGGGCCACTGAAGCACATGTTGGACCCTTGACACACTGAGTTTTCGTCATTTCGTAGGAAGAGTCATACACGTATGTCAACCATAAATGGGAGCAGCCCTCTCTATTTCAAGTGCTCCAAATTCAGCATCTGCTTGCCTGGGCCTGGCCCGTTGTTACTTAGCTCTATACATAAATGTCCCATGTTGCTCATTTCTACTCTAACCTGCCCCATCCAGTCACACACACAATCAGGGACTTTATCAACCAGGCTGGCACAGTGAGAGGACTAGACTTAATTAGTAAGGACTCACTCAGAAGTTCTGGAGCTGATTCTACTGAAGCTGTTGAGATGCCTTAGGTCCAAATCTACGTTCCCTAGGCCAGCCCAGGAAATTCTATTTAACGCATCCTGGACCATCTTGGACCACAGACTTTGATGGACTATTTTAGCCATCCAGCCAAGGATGGTTGGTCAAAAGCTCATCCCTGCTTTCCTGGCAGCAGCAATGGGTGGCACAGGAAAAGATTGCCTTTGCAGCTCCTATCAGCAACCAGAACACAAAAAAATTGCTGGCTGGGACTCAAGGTCCCACGCTTCTGTGGATAGGAGAGGGTCTACTCTGCCATGAGCTTTTGTCATCTGCATTAGCTCTGAAATAAGGGGCATATATGTCCACAGTCCTGGCAATTTACCTGAGCTCCACTTACAAATATATATTAGCTTGTACAATGGTAAACCAGAGTAGAAAGAGTTTGAAGAGAGACATCTGCTCAGCCATCTCTTTTCCTCTTCTTGTTCTAAGGAGTTCTTGTGAAGGACTGATATTCATCCTGTCACACAGACCCTACTTTTAGCTCCCTGGGAAGCTGGTTAAGACCCTGGTAGCGATCTCGGGATTTTCAGGTCAGATGGGGAGGTCTGAGCAGAACAGTCAGGCCCAAGATCCTGTCCTACTTTCTGTGCCAAGAGTTACACTAACTGCCTCCGGGTTCATCTGCCAAAACATTACTAGTCCTATTAAAGCTGTGGTGCCAGGGGATGACGACACAAAGGAGCACTTAAGATTGGGCCAGCAGTGAGGAGTCTTTCAGGCAGCTTGCTCTTGCTGCAGAGAACTGTTCCTAACAACTCCACAGGATGCTGATGGGAGGAGTTTTCATCCCTGAAGAGCTTTGGATTTGTGAGACAGGCAGGTCTTAGGCATGCATTTTAGGCTTTCCCTGTCAGAGATGTCTAATGACCTTAGCAGATTTCTTCCCTTGCCTCTGAAGTGTCTCTGCAGATGGGGTTGATCCACCTAACGTTATTCTGAGAGTCCCTAGAATGCACTACAGAATTATTTGAAGGAATTCATAATGCAACCGTTTTACGATTATGGAACTAAAGCTGTAACATGTGGTGAAAGGCACATTCAAGCAGCTACCAGCTGCATTGTTTTTAATGCTGCAGGCAACAACGCTGCTGTACCCACCAGTAGTTAAACTGCTTTCACCATCAGCTGGGTGAGGGTGGGAAAGGCAGGGACCTGCTCACTGTCTTTCTATCATTTCCCCGCTGAGGGCAGAAATCCAGATGGAGCAAAACCAGAACCACAAGTCAGATATAAACTTTGCTGCTCCTCTTCACTAAGGGCATTGTGCTGCTCTTTGCTTACTGTGGGCAGAGTGCCGCCATGGGATGCAGTAGGAACAGCAACGTAAAGTGCAGTAAAGCATTCAAATTAACAGCAATATTACAAAATCTTAACTCTAAACATTATGTAATCTCCCCAAATAATGATATGTTACATTTCCATAATGCTCTCCATCTAAAATCCCAAAGGGCTTTAGTTACTGCATATGCAGAAAGTATTTCACTCACTCCAGACTGCTGCCATCTCTGGGACAGAAGACAGCAACTCCACCTGGACCCAGCACAGTTTAGATAACCATGTGCATAAAAGTGTGTAATTTAAATGAAGCTGCAGGCAGGAACAAGGAGAACAGAGTTACTTATCTTATAATTTGTCTGGGGATTAATACCTTACTCTTGCAAAGTATGATCCTGTAACGACTAGCAGCACTCAGGGCCCCAGATTTAACCTACAGCACAACCAGGAAGGCAACACTCAAAGCACCACAGTAGGACACTTGTTCCCATGCTGTTTACTGAGTCACCAGCACCACTTCCTAGTGCAACTGGATTATCCTTCTGGCCTCCCATGTAAACACACTAGTACCGCTAAGCATGCCTCTCCCCACCTAGCTTGTAAGAATGAAAGAAAAGCCTAGCTTGCAGTAGAATAGCAAAACCCACCACTTACTGACGGACCAGGAGAGAGGAAGAATGGCTAGTGGTTAGGGGACTGGCCTGGGAGCTGGGAGATCAGGCTCTACTTCCTCCATCCTTACAGGGAGCCACTCATGTCTCTCAGGGCACACTTCACCTTGCTTGGAGTCAGGTGTCTAGTTCAGGGCTCTAACGCTTGACAACAGAGCGAGGCACCTCTGTGGTTGAGTTATCCTATCTATTTTAGGCTAGGGAGGGATTGCCCCCTGGAGGTGCGTTCCTCTCTCCGCGGTGGACAGAGCCCAGACGGCTGACTTAGATAACTAACTTCTGAAGTGCCACAGTCACATGAGATCAGTCTCAAACTAGGTGAGATTTCCCCATCCATAACTTGAAGACAATAACGTCCTTACCTAGCATGGCTGCCACAAGGAAAAATGCAGGAAAACCTGCAAAGCGTCAGATGTTATTGCAACTGAGGTTGCAGGTAACCTCAGTTTGAGAGCTAGACATTAAGTAGTAAGAAGTACCGGTGACTGAATATATCAACAGTTAATTTTTGTCTTTGCTGGTATGTTCCCTTTTAAAATATTGTTTTCATTAAATTTTTAGCAGTTCAAATAACAAAAACAATCCTTCTGTCCTAAAGTAATACTCCCGGTGTAACTGGTCATAACTGATTTCTCATGGAGATTTTCCTTTCAAACAGAGTCTCTGGGTTCAAGTCTCAAAGAGAGCACTCTCACAGGCTTTGAAAGTAACTTCTCTGCAGCGGGGGGTCATGTCTTTGACAGTAACACCTCTGCAATTGTTTTCCTTCTTTCTCTGTTTTCTGACATAGGACTTCTATGCTGGTTTCGAGAAAGAGGACGTAACATCTTCTTCTACAAGTCTTTGTTATAGCTTTGGTATCAAACCCTCCACAAATCAAAGAATTTACTGATCCTTTTCTGGAATTTCAAGGCATCCAATTGGAAGGGAGAGGTTTCCAGTTCTCACAAACTGATCTCTTTTCAGTCCGTTTGAGGATTTTGCTTCATCAACAGTTCCTGGTTTGTGCACTTTGTGTTGCACTTTGCAGAGTTGTAACTTTTCATTTTGCTGGTAATAAGCCTGTCATCCCTAAAGCTTAGGACTTCCCCCTTGCAGTGCAGACTTTGAAGAAAGATGATACCAACATATGCTGCAATCTAGGGCCTGCGGTCTTGACAAGTCCCCAGTGCCCTATTGGCCCATGACATTGTGCGTAGTGTTGGCAAAATATTTGAGAAATCATATGGGGAGGAAGGACAAGTGTTGCAGAAACAATATGATATGGTTTCTTTATTGCTGTTAGCTTTGGAGGGGGAGGGATGCTATGAAACAGATTAGAGTACATACCAGTCAGCTGTCTTTCCAAGCAGAGGACTAACACATAGGTGCTGATGAGCTTAAAAAGGGAGGTATAATGCCAGTCCAAGGGGATTATAAGAGTAACACTGCACACTGTAACCCGGCAATACTATCATTTGCTAATTCACTGATGTCCTTAAGGACATCACTCTTTTGGATAGCAAGTTAAGGCAGATGCCTTGCTTAGGTGCCAAGAAATTTCTGTTCCAAAATCAGAACAAGCCATATCTACATGAAGCATTACAAGTACTTCCTGAATGTATTCAAGGGTGTTTTAATCTTCTATGGAAAACGAGTTGTGCTGACGGAACAGATGACCCATTCATGCCATCTGTACTGTCATTTTAGAAAATTATAGCAACTAATTAATATGGACTTTGAGAGTCTATAAAGCACACTGAA